AAACCACACACACACACGTGCACGCACTGGTCCCATGACTGACCTGTGTGAAGTAGAGGTTGACCGCCTGTGCCAGGTCTGGATACGGAGACGTCACCTCCCCCACCTGCTTCATCGCCATCTTGTTGAACTCCCGCATCTCACGGATGTCCATGTCTTTCTGCAAATACCCAAAACAAAAGAGTACAGTTATGGTACATAGCTCAGAACAACAACATGAGTAATAACACTGTTTTTGGCAAAAATACATAAGAAAAAAAATCATCCCTCACAATCCATCGCTCAAAACAAATACATGTCTGCTTCTTTCTGTAAATATATAAAAACCATTGATATGGCTCAGAAAACATTTGTCTGTAACTGTCAATTTCACATTCTTAAATTTTTAACCATACAAATTTTAATCGTCTATTAGAAATATACAACATGTAATCTGCTAGACCTATGAGCCCTGTTATAGAACTCCTTACCTCATCTGGGACTTCTCCCTTGCTCTTCTTAGCAGATCTTATTTCCCTGGCGTATCTTACATTCTGTATTAAATAAAACATGACATATACTTTATAATAAAATAAGTGATTTGTATTTAATTATTATTTTTAAAAATTACTATAATCAATTCCACCAATACCATTATCATTATAAAAAGCACTATTATCGTCATTACAATCATCATTAATTTTATAATAATATTATTAATAATAATAATAATAATAATGACCTGTTTCATGACTCTGTCCAGTTTACCCTGCTGTTCGTCCATCTCCTTGTTCAACTGGAGGATCTTGTTCTGCTTGTCCTGGATCATCTCGATGTAGGCGTCCTCGTCCCTGGTCAGAGTGTCCAGGTTGTGGCTCATGGTCTGACAACAGAAGGTCACATAATTCATTATCAAGGTCAAAAGGAGGTCGCAGCATTCATTATCAAGGTCAACAGAAGGTTGTTGCGTTCATCATCAAGGTCAAGAGAAGGTCACATTACTCATTATCAAGATCAATAGAAGGTCACAGTATGCATTATCAAAGTCAACAGAAGGGTACAGCATTCATTATTAAAGTCAAAAGAAGGAATCAGCATGCATTCAATATCAAAGTCAGTGTTGGACTTTTTTTGACAATGTTTGTGTTACAGTAATTGTATTTATGTCATAAGTAGAATTTAAAATGTAATTCAAGCATTGTAGATTGAAGGGCTCTATTTCTAACAAGACTTCACAGGGGCTAAAGATCCAATACTTGGTGTCCAGGACAGTGTCAAAAAAAATATAACACAAAAATAAATAAATAAATAAATAAATAAATAAATAACCATGAAAATAATGATACTAATGGATAGCCATTTATAAAGGCTATACACACGTGCCCTTTCGTACCTGTAAATCTTCCTGAAGCTCTCTGATCTGCCTACGCTTGTATTTGTATTTATCCATGACAGCCCTCATCTGTTCTTCCAGCTGTGCCTTCTCTTCCATGTCATCACCTTGAAAAAAGTACAATAATATTAAATTAAACATGTAAATGAACTCAATTCAACGGGACAAACAAAATGCTAAGCATCAATAATAGAACTTTTTAATAAAAGTATTATTATAAATACTTATAAATGTAAGTATTATTTAAAAATATTCAGGGTATTAGATATTATGATAAACATTCCACTAGCTAAATTTACCTGCAACTGCATGCATAAGTACCCACAGCGTCTGTGCCTCCACCCCTCCCCCCACCCCTTCCACTCAAAAATTATCCAACACAGTTTCTGCTAAATTTAATTGAACTCAGTGAATTAGTTGAAGATATTAACACACAAGTTCATGAACAACAAATACTCACTGGAATCTGTGACTTTATTAAAGCTCTTTCTGTACTGTTCATTCCTCCCATTCATCAGCCTGAGCGTATTCTCCAGGGCTTGGATCTCTTTCTCAGCCTTCCTGATCCTGGCGTCTAGGTCGTCACCTGTACGCTGGAGCTCTTCCTTCTCTTGGGCAGCCTGTTCATAAACAATGACAAAAGATGAATAATAAGGTAAGTACTACACATCTCTGTTGTAAAATCTAAGCTTGTTTTCAAAGGACATCACAGAAAACAATATTTTATATCTACCAGAACAGTTACCAGTGCATGGTGCAAAGAAAAAAAAGAAAAAAAGAAAAAAAAAATTCCTTACTCGAATCACGTAGTATGCCTGGGATTTCTCTTCTTCCCCCTCTGGTGGCGCCATCTGTACCATCAGGATCTCATATCTAGATGACGAAGAAAACTATCATACAGAGGGCAAAGAAGTGATGTGGGTCTTATGTATCTTTAAACATGCAGTGATCAAGTTCTCATTGTATAAAAAGTAGAACTTAATTCATAAATCGATAAATTTATTATATAGATAATGTCAATTTCTTCCACTGTAAATAATTTGACACAAAATGTTGCAAGCTCATCCCAGGTTGTGTCAACACAAACAACTGGACGAGTTGCTTGTTTGCACACTTATATTAATACTTTAATTTCATTTGTTTATTAATTTTCCATACTAACTGATTACTAACATTGTCTAAAAATTATTAATCATGCAATCACATACGAAGAACATTTTAAACACAAAAATTGTGACAAGCCAAGCAGAAAGCCATATACACCACAATCTGACACTAGGGGCTCACTTACTGCACCCTGTCTATCATAATGTTGTCCAGAGATAACTGACCTTTTCCTAAGTTTGTCAATCTTGGCTATCCTGTCGTGGAGTTCTGCACTGATCTGTGACCTCTCCTCATCTGCCGCTCTCACCTGTGCTGTCAACATCTCTGTGTGGATGTCTATCTCACCACGACGCTCCTTCATCGCCTACAAAATAAATGTTTATATTTATATTTATATGTGAACAATACAGTTCATGTCATTACAAATCATACATATGGGCCTGTATCTATACCACTCAGACTCTGGCAAATACCTAGAGTTTCATACTTCTTAGCCGAATTTAAACCAAATACAGATAAAAAAATCTTAACAAATTTACAATATTTCACCACATCTATCACTGACAGATTTAGTCTAAAATCACCCATCTGACCATTGACCATTAAAAACAATGCTAAATTGAGCCAAGATGCAAAATAATGTTAAGATCCACTTACAGTTTCCAACTGCAGTCTTCTCTTCTCCAATGTGAACACATCATCAGCTTTGGTGTACAACATGTCCCGCAGCCGCTTGATCTCCAATTTAAGTATGTTGTCATCCACCATCTTTTGCTGTAAGAGGAAAATGATTTCGTTGAAAAAAAAGTTAATATCAAGAAGTCCATTCATTGCATATAACATGGATATGATATTTAGTATCTAATAACAGAAAGGAAAAAACTAAATATATAAT